GCATTAAGACATGCAGTGTGAACGTTGTCTTAGAGAGAGGCTTTTATACCAGAACACAGCCGCTGTGACGAAACTGTGGAGAAGTACGTCACAGAGGAGAGCCGTTAACCAATATGCAAATTAGCCTGCAGTACCACTGCTCTACCCATATGAGCAGCAAAAAGACATTTTTAGACCAAATATTACAGATTTGAACAAATACGCACAAAAACATCAAAATTAGCACAGAAACTATGCTATATAACATTTTAGACACATTCTAGACAGTTTATCAGCTAAAAAAAGTTAATTTTGGGGTAAGTTACTCTTTAAAGGCAGCGGGTGATATGCATTCCTTCCAGYATTGCGCCATCTGTTTTAAGATTTCTAAAATGTCTGCTGGTGCTGGGCTCCGAGCACGTTTTCTCCCTCTCCTCCATCATGAAAAAGATTTCAGGGCATTTGAAGAGTAAATGTCATATTTCATGCGTAGGTGTTTGCATCTCTTTTAGTCTCCCCAAAGTTACTGTTGCGTCTTTTGCCTCCCACGCCGTGCTTCATGAGCAATGATGTGCACGCGAACACCTCAACTTGACCTGTGATCTTGTCGGTTCATTTGCTCAGCTCCACACGTCGAGTTCCCAGCATCACTGTTTCCCACCGGGATGCTTTTGTTTTTTTGTTACCTTTCGCATCATATCAGCAGGTGCAAGGGAACGGCAGAAATGCTTCTTCAGCATTAATTGCCAAGCCARCAGTAACAACAATGAAGAAGTTGCTCAGAAAAAGTGATGATGCAGAATTTTAGCCCCTTCTCACTAAATGTTAAGGATGCTTTAATTGGGAGCTAAAATGCGGCATGTGTTTCTACATACCTGCAGAAATGAGGCCATTGAGCTAATATGTCAGAAAAGTTCACTCATGTTGGTTTAAACTTGTCTTTGATTAAAATAACCTTTAGTTGTACTTTTGTAATATTTATGTTTGTGGTTGTAATGTGACAAAATATGGAAAAGTTCAAGGGGTATGAATACTTTTGCAAACTACTGTATGTCATAAAAGTTCACTCATGTTGGTTTAAACTTGTCTTTGATTAAAATAACCTTTAGTTGTACTTTTGTAATTTTTCTTTTTTTTGTAATTTTCATTGTTTAAAGAGACAGTTCATATATTTTAAAGATTTGTGAAWAAAATTAGAACCCATAATATCTTACCTGTTGTAGATAATTTTTCAAACAACTTCAGTTTGGGGATTTCTTTTAATTTATCAACAGACTGCCTCATTGTTTTAATTCAAACACACTAAAAGCGACTAAACTAAATACTAAACTACACCCGAACTATAAAATCCAAACACACTAAATGTCACAAACCGCTAAAATTTCACCTCTCTTCATCGCTGCCAAACTTCATTTAACTTTTGCGTCTTTTTNGGTCATTGTCCATCTGTAGTATGAAACGACGACCAATCAGTTAGTCAAGTAAGGACGAAGATGTTTATATAATTGGATTAATGATAGCAGGATTTCTGCTGATTGGAGGTGGTGAATACCTGGCCTGTCGTGAAATTCGGAAAGTGCTGCTGGAACAGAACTGCAATTTGGATGTTATCCTCGCTGAAGGTCACAGGCCGGCTGTGGTTCCTCTCGCTGGCGGGAATGTATAGATCTTGGAGATGTGCTCGGTGATGCGAGGATTGACCAACAAATTCRGCTGATTGGAATTTTGCTATTGAAAGTTCTAGTGAGACATTAAGGCAATAAGCAAATCTACAGAAGTCAGCCTGTTCCAAAACAAGTTATGATTATCTGATTTGGCACCCCTATGTGGCCTTCAAGACAAGAGGATATCTCAAACTCCTGGATGTTTATGTCAACTGATGATGCAGATGGACAGTAACCTCATTATTATGAGACTATGGCTGATGGGGGGGGGGGGGGGTGGGGGGGGGGCTGTTCGGGTGACTGCTTTCACAGTTTTAGTTACAGATGTTCACGCATATGCAAACAACATTTTCACGGATTCAGATACACCCCCCCCTAAGACTCACTGCCTTTGCTGGCTCCCTCCCTTCCTTCTCATGCCCCCCCTTCCCCATACCCACACACCCTTCCCTCCCTTATGCTTCCTTTAACCCCATACCCATGATCAATGTTGGTGCAGAGGTTTTTTTTATGTAGCCTCATATTGTGTCCTGAGAGGACATAGCATGTTCTTTTTTTTTTTTTATCCTCACCTGTCTCATGTTGGTTTTTCTTTTTTATCTATTGCAAAAGGGCAGTGCTTTCATGGCTGCAGCCCTGGGCACCCCATCCCCCCTGTATGTCTTGCTGTTCATTTGTCTCTCACTTGGATGGGCTGTTCTGAAAGCAATTTCTTTGTATTTGCGATGTTCCTATGTACAATGACAATAAACGCTTCTGATGTTTTCTTCACAGCAAAATCTTCCAAATGCAAACACCGCACCTCAAATCAACTCCAGGCCTTTTATCTTCTTAATTGAGAATGACATAACATAGGAATTGCCCACATCTGCCCATGAAATAATCTTTGAGTCAGTTGTCCATTCACTTCTGGTCCCTTTTAAAAGTATGGTTGCACATGTTAAGGTGCTGAACTCCTAAACCCTTCATCCAATTTTAATGTGGATACCCCTTAATGAAAGTTGAATGTCTGGACTTTATGTCCATGTTCATTACATAACTATAACTTGAATATGTCACTGTAAACACATCTGTCTTCCTATTAAGCTACCTACCTGTTTACCTATCAAGGTACTTAGCTATATACCTGTCTACCTTTCATTGTATATTTCGACCTGTGTACTTTCCAGTGCACTTAAAAGGGTAGTTAGACAGGTAGGCATGTCCCTACCTGTGTACCTACCTACTTTCCTACCTATCAGTCTACTTATGTACTGTACCTACTGTTGTACCAACCAATGTACCAAACTACCAGAATTGGGTCTCAGAGTCAGCAACTTGATCAGGGAGATCTCTACAGCCACCTCTTCCAGCTCTTCTGGGAGGACTCCAAGGTGTTCCCAGACCAGCTGAGAGACATATTCTCTCCTGAGTGTTCTGGTCCTTCCCTATGATCTCCTCCAAGCTGGACATGTCCAGAACACCTCCCTAGAGAGGTCATCCTAGGATGGACAAATTGAAATTGGATTTTTTTTTTGGGAAACCACGGACACCACTACCTTTGTACCAAAGAGGAAAGGGACCATCTAGGCTGCTAACTGACATTAAACACATTAATTGAAACAACTTTGTTTACAAATATTGCACTACAAATTGGTGTGGTAGTAGCTGAGAGTCATTCAGAACACATACTCTGAATGTGAGATTTCACAATATCCCGTGTGCTCACATTGTTTTTAGGGTTTGACCAAATGGACTACAACTCAGTCTAAAACCCTGACATTAAAGTGTAACTTACCCCCCCCTGTGTAAAGGTAGCTCCGCCCCAAGGCGAAATTTGAAAAATGCATCAAAGTGGGTAGTGGGTGGGGGGGGTTAGAGAGCGGAGATGTGGCCAGGATGAGAGAACGTGACAGCTAGCATTAGCATAATTGATGCTACATGGA